ATAAAAAAATAATTTTTTAAAAGTTTAAAAACATAAACATAATTATATATATATATATATATATATATATATATATATATATATAAAAACATTGAAATAATTAGGGGTGACCCCCAATAGTCGAAGATTCGATGCTTCGATAGGAGGAGCCTGATTCACCTACCAATCTCAGTCGAATATTCGCGGGGTGTTATGATCATGCCAATTTGGATATATGGGGGTGCTCATCTGATTGATTTCACATAGAACTACCGGTTTTCTCCCAATAAGTTAATATACAGCCTATTAAAATAATGCTGTAAATAAGAATCTGAAAAGAAAAAAGCTTCAAATAAATATTTTAACGTGTGTGAATAAATCCAACCACCCCTATAGATTTAAGTTTCACTTTCCATAATCCGTGACCTACAGAGAAGCATCTTGGCGGCAAGGATTTAAAACTTTAACAAGACTCAAATTGACACAGCCAGAGTGAAAGACTGGATTTGTTCGATCAGGTAGGGTAAGTGATTTCAAAACATTTCAGCCGGTTTATATAGGCTATATCATGTATATAATATTTATATCATATAAGATGCATTTGGTTGAGTTACGCTGCAGTAAAGCGCTTCATTGTAGTACTACGGTGATTATCTCTTCAGCGCGCAGCGAGAGCAGGACAAACAACAATGTAGAATATTAATAACTATGACTGGGACTGTCAAATACATAACATTATAATGAGAACCCTATTATAATAAAACGCTTTTAAATAAAACTAAACTAAATTTTTTGAGTTTAGTTGCCGTGTTTCTGCACGTTGTTGCGTTCAGAACGCGTCCACAAAAGGAGTTCATTCAGAGTTCAGACACGTTCATGCATTCTGTGCAGATAGCCTGTAAGTCGTAATATTAACGTTATGTTGTATAAATAACGAAGCGTATTATATATGAGATAAATGATGAGTTAAATCCCATTGATTAAAAACCCGCTGCTTCATTCTACTGGTCATCTTCAGCGCTCGCAGCTCAAAACAGAAATGTAGAACATTAATAACTACTGTCATATACATAACGTTATAATGAGAGCACTAGAAATTTTGTGAATTCTTAGGGTTTTGCTAACGTTTAATGTTAACTATCTTTTAATCAAAACATAAAACATTATTTACCCCGTTTGTATCTGCGAGGCATCTGTTACACATTTTTCCTGCGTGTTAACGTAATTATGACTGTCGAATGTCTGACTTGACTCTTGGTAATGTATTTTGCCCCGCCCCCAAAACATATGATTCGACTATGAAAATCCTTAGTCGGGGACACCCCTAGAAATAATGCAGACTGCTGGCTTTAACAAAGGCATTGAGCATCAGCTAACAATCTTGAAGCTCACATAAGGTCTTTCTTTAATGGTTTATAAGTTATCATTAAAAATCAATTCCCCTATGGAGAAAATGAGTGGGATTTTTACTTCCAGAACCCAACTGTTGCACTCGATCCACCTTATTTTTCAATGCGGAAGTAAGCCGTTTTCTGTGAATGTGCGAGACTTCCGGTTCATTAACTGCTGTAGGGAAATAACGAGAAGAATATCAAAGTGCAGTAAATGGTAAAACGGTTTGCACTACAAACCAGTGTGTTCGTAATTGAGATAATACATTAAAATAACATGGTAAGATACACTAGTTTGCAATATCAAGCAGCAAAATGAGCTGTTTTGTACAGCTAGGAAGCCTCGCACATTAAATTTACAAATGGCCGCACCCGCTCTTATGGGAAAAATAAGGTGTATACAGAGAACTATTGGAGTTTTTTTACACCAATACGTTCCAGTTACTAAAATTACTTATATGCTATAGATAGAATATTATATAAAATGATATATTATAACAAATGACATCTGTAATATTACACTTGTGAAAAGGCCATGTCTTCACATCCCCCATTTCCCTTTATGAATAATCTGTGTTGTGACAGAATGACACCATGAATGAGAAATATACATGTAGCCGGCACCAAAAACAACATCCCCATCTACTGAGAAGGACACAGAGCACACAAATGTCAAACTCGCCATTCTGTTGTGATGGCAATGAGTCTGACAGGTTAACACCATGGAGGAATAAATGTCACACACAAGCCTTCTAAAACATACCTGAATGTATTCCATGGAAATGGGAAAATGCATTATGTTTTATAGCTCAGATTAAACACCACAACCAATCTTGCACACATTCCATATATGACTTAAAAACAAAAGCAGTGTGTGCACAAAGCTTGTTATTGTTAGACTCTAGTTTATCAGTAACCAGTAGCCCGGAAAGTCATTGCCCTATCCATGCCACTCTTTCTCACTTTTATTTTTTCCTTGTGCTGGCCTGTATGCTACGCAATCTGAATCTCTATCTAAAGAACACAGGTAACCTTTGACCAAAACTGCACAAACAGTATCAGTTGTTACTCAAGAGAAATAAAATGGAGTGGGTGGTTTAGTTTCTGTGTTAATGCTTGCGTTATCCTCATTCCCTTCCTCTCACGAACCGACAACTAGTCGGTCAACAACCAGAAGTGCCTAACTACTAAAAAGAATGTGCTTCTCATAGAAAATCAATGTTAACTAGAAACAAGTCCACTGCTAAACCTAGTGTGCTTTTGTTTGTCTTCTCAACCAAGGGATCAGTCAATATCAGGTCTTATATGTAGACTTGATAACAAGCAACCTCAGTTTCAGACATCCAGAGGAGTCTTCTTGAGAAGGGGGGTGCAAGTGGAGTTTTCATTGCCAGATGGCAGCCTGAAAGAAGCCCCTCTTGATGGCTTTAAGACGGTTAAGCCTATTGTGCACCGCCAACTAACAACAATATTCAAGAAACGTATTTAGAAAATTAATAATTCCATGTGACCTTTAAACATGTTCAAATAACACATCTGGTTCAACAGCAGCATAAAACAAGACTTTATAAACATCATGAAAATAAACCGCTATTTAAACTGCGCTTCGCGGACTGGGTTCCTGTTAACAAGGCGTCGTTAAGGCGTCGTTAAATTGAAGAAGTCACGAATTTAAAATAAAAACACAAATTTAACTCTTCAAACGTGTACGTATAACACAGATGTAACATCTATTTGAGATGTGTATAAAGTACCGTTATACCATAATTATATTTATTGTGTAAATGTACTGTTTTCCTATTCTGCTTGATATATATGACATTATTTTATAAATAATTCTAAATAAATTAATCTATTTAAAATTAGGGTATTTATTAACATTTTTGTTCTATCAACTAGTAATATTTAATTTAGTTGTTTCTAAATATCGCCGTAGTAAGATTTTAAAATCTAGGTTTCTAAATTAGTGACCTTTTTTTTTTTTTACTGACTACTTTCGCCAATTTGGTTGAAACTACAGCTGAAATGGGAATATTATAAAATTCTGATAAAACACAAATCTAAAAGCTGAATGAAAACAAAACAAACAAAAAAAAGTATTTAAAAAAATAAAATAAACTTTTGAGGAAAGGTAGCGCGCGAGCAAGCATAACTTAGCCCGCAGCCCTCCGGGAAAAAAAATACAAATTCAAACTTACCTGCGAGGAGAATAACATTGATGAAACACAGGCAGGACGTACTGAAATCCATTGCTCTGCTTTTAAGCCACAATTTAGTAACCGGTGTGGGTATAAAAACAACTTTTTCCCCCGACTTGTAATGTTTAACGCTCACTCTTCTTTCGCCAGTCTCGCGTAGCATCAGAAGTCCACTAGCTCGCTCGCGCAGGTGGATTGTGGCTGGAATCGGCACACGTGATTTCCGGAGGTATCAGCCGGGGAACTTTGAGGGGTTTTCACGCCCTCTTGCGTACACATGCTCCAAAAGCGGCAGAGTTTCTCCTCACATCGACGCATATTGAATGAATAATTTAGAAGCACTGATCACTTTAAAGCAAAATCTAATCTTAACCTCTTATTTTTCCTCGCTAATGCTAGGGAGTCTCATGAGCTCCTTACCATCATTTATTCTAGTATTCATCTTTAAACAGTCTTTTGAGAATCTCAACTGTGCCTCCTTCCTTTAAATGACTTTGAAGTAACTATTTTGATGCTTTTCAGCGAAATACTTCATTATTATCATAGCTTCTTAAAAAAACCACAACAAATTCTTCGTGTGTTTGCACACACTTGGCGAATAAAGCTAATTCTGATTATTTTCCACCTTCATAAGCCCAGATCTGGCACAGCCCCTGCTTAGCTTTTAATAGGTGCATAAAACAGGTATCATGCAAACACACTCAGCATAACCACATGAGGATATGAAGACACTGTACCAGTATTCAGGACAGACATTTCACATAGTTTAATGATTTGTTTCCATTTAAAATCATTTTATGAGGAGTATTACTTATTTTAAAAAGTAATCAATAGCTATTAATAACTCTTACTAAAATACTCTGTATAGAAAAAGAGGGAAATGCAGTTTGTGGTCATTTTTTATTGCAAACTAGACCAAAAAAATATACATATGAACAGTATTTATAGAGATTTAAAAAGTAATCAATAGCTATTAATAACTCTTACTAAAATACTCTGTATAGAAAAATAAGAGGGAAATGCAGTTTGTGGTCATTTTTTATTGCAAACTAGACCAAAAAAATATACATATGAACAATATTTATACAGGAGTGACGCTTATAGAGAAGCTTTTGACACTGTAGCAAAGAGAGGCACTCAAGAACAGAAACCAATGTGAGTGGTGCTACAACTGACTCCTATCATACAACTGGAGTCTCTGTCTGTTGAATATCTTGTCATAGACACTTCCTTTTGAAGTTATAATTCATACAAAAAAACTTCTGAACCATCACAGTTGACAACACAACATCAGTGAACAAACAATACAAGAATGCAGCACTGTTTTGCGTTCATAGTGATAAAAAAAGATGAAGATCAAATTGACAAGTCCAAATGGTAAAACCAAAATTGGACAAATCGTGAACTACAACATTGTTTAACAGAGTTCAAAGCTCTGGTGTGCCCAGGATCCAGATAATATGGATCCATCGGCAAAGCTAATGTAGAACCATTTCTCCTTGCATGACTTTAAGTATGAAGCAGCATCAGTGCAAGATATGGAACAATTAAATACCTCTTTCTAATACAGCCTGTAGTTTGGTCATAATGAACTCCTTGCCAGCATGCCATCATACTTGCTTAAACAGAATTTGCCTACATCAAGCATTTGAAAAATACGATAACAGGATGCGGTCTAATTTATTAATATTTTTTGTTTTGATTATGTTGCTAACTACTGGTCTAAGAGGAACAAAGAAAATAATAATAGTGAGAATGACAAACTGTAGTGATGGATAAATTAAAAGTTATGTGGCACTATTCCCACAGCTAATGCATATTGTTTAATTATATCAAATTCTGTTTATATATTTTTATACTTCCAGACCCTCCCCCCATCCTCCCATATCCATAACCTCTACAACGATTGGCTCAATGATAATATTTATTTTCCCAAATTGTTTACTGTCCTCGTTTAGAAGGTGGCACAAGGTGATCAGGAAGATCAGCAGGTAACTCATGACCTTCCAGTTTGACCTTGATGAGGTGGTTAGCTAGGGCGAACTCTTCGTCGTCCAGGTACCCATCCTGATCCACGTCAGCAAGCTTCCAGATCTTTCCTAGAACATTGTTAGGCAGCTTGGATTTGACCATCTCTTTCTTGGCCATGGCACCAGAGACCTTCCCGTTGACAGGTGACAGGGTGTAGAAGATCTCATCGTAAGTTGGTTTGTCTCTTGCCACTATCCACTCCAGCTCATCAATGCCTTCACTAGCACCCTCTCCATAGCCATGCCCGAAGGGTCCATTCATGGTGCCATCAAAGGCACCACCCTGGACAGCCTGGCTGGGCATGGCAGCCTCCTCCTGCCGAACGAGGGTCATGAGTTTGGCAATATCATTGGCCAGCATATCCTCCACTGTTTCCAGCAGCTTGGGCTTCAGTCCCTGAAACTTAGTGAAATCTTGGCCAGCGAGGACTTCCTAATAATGAGGACAAAAAAAAAAGTTGTGTGATCATATTTTTGAAACAAACTATTTTTGATAACTAAAATAAAACAAATCACCACATAAAATGAGGGGCTATATTGTTAAGAAACATTTACCACTCTTAAAACTTTAAGATTATATTATATTTTATTATGGTATTATACTTTGAAACAACAAAAATTAGACCTTCCCGTTGACAGGTGACAGGGTGTAGAAGATCTCATCGTAAGTTGGTTTGTCTCTTGCCACTATCCACTCCAGCTCATCAATGCCTTCACTAGCACCCTCTCCATAGCCATGCCCGAAGGGTCCATTCATGGTGCCATCAAAGGCACCACCCTGGACAGCCTGGCTGGGCATGGCAGCCTCCTCCTGCCGAACGAGGGTCATGAGTTTGGCAATATCATTGGCCAGCATATCCTCCACTGTTTCCAGCAGCTTGGGCTTCAGTCCCTGAAACTTAGCGAAATCTTGGCCAGCGAGGACTTCCTAATAATGAGGACAAAAAAAAAAGTTGTGTGATAATATTTTTGAAACAAACTTTTTGATAACTAAAATAAAACAAATCACCACATAAAATGAGGGGCTATATTGTTAAGAAACATTTACCACTCTTAAAACTTTAAGATTATATTATATTTTATTATGGTATTATACTTTGAAACTCCTAACAAAAATTATATATTAAAATCATTTTCTGGGAGAGATGGGACTATTTCCATACCTGCATTTTACTGAGTTTAGGGAAATCACCAGGGGAGATCTGATGTTCTTTTTCAATCCTTGCATAAATGTCACCCAGGTTAGCAATGAGCTCCTTTTTCTTATTCTCCTTCCCAAAAACATTTGGCATTTCTTTCTTCAAAGCACTGATGATATAGGCATGAACCTAGAGTTAGAGAAAACTGCTTTGTCATAACATATAATATTTATAATAAATCTGTGCTATATGGATACTGTATATGAGCAATCTGTCAATCTGTAAAATTGCAGGGACTTGAATGATAATAATATTAAGTTATTATGCAGAAAAAACAATGGTAACATTCATAATAAGAAGAAATTTTTCTTGAGCACCAAATCAGCATATTAGAATGATTTCTAAAGGATCATGTGACAGTGAAGACTGAAGTACTGGCTGCTGAAAATTCACCTTTGTCATCCAAGGAATAAATTACATTTTAAAAAGCCTAAAAGAAACCTAAAAAAATCTATATACATCTATAAAAATTTAATTTAAAAAGGAAGAGGCTGAGCAGGAAGAAGAGTCAATAAACTTGGATTGTGTCTGGGGTGATTACATTTTTTTTAAAGGGGTCATATGACTTTTGCTTTCGCACTGAAACACACAGCGTCTCCCTGACATGCTGTTTCAACACTAACTGCGGTTACTGAAACCATGCCTTCTTTCTTTGCGTGCACATTTGGGTGCATTATGCAAATATTTCCACATAGTGGGGTAGATATGTGGGGGCGTGTTAGAATGAGCCGTTTTAGGGGGGCGTGGCAGAGTCTTAACTTTGATAAAGAATATATCTTTGGTTTTGAGACTTTAGTCTTTGCAACTTCAGGGATCTTATCTATGCACAATCAGCTTGTTACACTCCAAAGAGAAAGGAAAACTTGAAATCGCATCATATGACCCCTTTAAGTGATCACATGAGGGCTGCATACACCAGATTACTTATCTAATCAAAAACCTTAAAGTACTTTCAATTTTAAGTATGTGTCCAGACAACACTCCCTACATTACTGTAAAACTAACTAACTATAAAAGGTTTCATTTCTTACTTTGGCTAGACGGGCTCGTTTGATAAGGTCATTCAGCTTGCGCAGCGCTGCATTTCGTGGAAGTCCCTGGATGTCACGGAAAAGGTCTTGCTCCTCTGCCTCAAACAGTTTCCTGTTATCTGGAACCAGGAGAGGCTGAGCCCAGAAAGAGCCGATGTAGACTCTGATGACCTCTGGGGTGTTGACAATTTTACCAAGTGACCACATGAGGGCACCATAAACCCTCATGAGCTGTTGTGTACCGATCTGATCAGCTTTGTTGAGCACCACCCGTATCTTGTCCTCATGGTTTTTCAGAGCTCGGATCACCTCGGAGAACTCATCTGAAAGCAACGGTTAAGACAGCTGACTCCACTGTGATGTGACCCTGTCTCTCTCTCTCTCTCTCACACACACACGTGCTCTCTCTCTCTCTCTCTCTTTCTCTCACACACACGCCCGCGCGCACACGCACATGTCCAGACAACACTCCCTACATTACTGTAAAACTAACTAACTATAAAAGGTTTCATTTCTTACTTTGGCTAGACGGGCCCGTTTGATAAGGTCATTCAGCTTGCGCAGCGCTGCATTTCGTGGAAGTCCCTGGATGTCACGGAAAAGGTCTTGTTCCTCTGCCTCAAACAGTTTCCTGTTATCTGGAACCAGGAGAGGCTGAGCCCAGAAAGAGCCGATGTAGACTCTGATGACCTCTGGGGTGTTGACAATTTTACCAAGTGACCACATGAGGGCACCATAAACCCTCATGAGCTGTTGGGTACCGATCTGATCAGCTTTGTTGAGCACCACCCGTATCTTGTCCTCATGGTTTTTCAGAGCTCGGATCACCTCGGAGAACTCATCTGAGATGTCCAACTTGTGTGCGTCAAAGAGAAGAATGATGCGGTCCACACGTTCAGCAAACCATTCGAGCACTGCAGCAAAGTCATAACCTGAAACAGAGATAAGAGTTT